AGGTTATTTAAATTGGTACTGATTACATGCAGTCTGTTCATTGCTAGGTGTTCCTGACTCCTTGCGACCGTTGTGTTGGCGTCTACTTCTCGGTTATCTACCTGTGGAGCGACAACAGTGGCCCGCGTATCTTCGAAAGCAACGTGAAATTTATAGCAGCCTTGTTGAAGATGTGATCGTTCATCCTGGCCAGTCGTCTATAGCGCCAGACCATGAAACTACCGCAGATCATGTATGTCTTTTTTCTATTCAACTTCGTACTGATAGTGCTATAAATCATACGTATTTTAAAATTAAATGAGACGTGAAGTTCATGTTAATATTGTCAGGGATTAAAATCATATAACTTGTCCAACTAGTATCCATGATTATCTACTGAAGTGTCCGTGATTAACTACTCACTAAGCTGAAGAGTCTGGTGATGGAGTGTTTTATTTGGGTTGATTTTAGCCACTAAATCTCAATCCAGACAGTCGATGGAATAATTATTTCAAGGACAATGAAGTATTGGCTCAAATAGATAAGGATGTTCGGCGACTTTGCCCAGAAATCGATTTTTTCCAAAGAATTACTTCTTACCCACATAGGTATGCTTTCCAAAAAAAAAGCGGTTCGAAATTTTTTTTGCATTAGTATATTGATTCAAGTGGATGCAGTTTCTAGCGCTATGTAATTTTTTTATAAACAGTTTCAATTGTGTACTTTTTCATACTTGCGTATTTGTTATGAAATTTTCCTAAAGAATTGAAAAGGAAGATAATCGGTATTTAGTTTATGTCCTCCTTTCTAGTTTTATTATCATAACATCATTTATCCCCCATTATTGGCATAGTTGCGTTCCAGACACGACGATATAAGAATCTTGGATAGGGAAATCATGGTTTCATCACCAAAACATTAGATTTAACCTGTTGGCTGATTTGGTTGCCAGTTGCTTCTGTCGTCATTAACTGTAAAACTTGTATTTTCAGGTCAGCAGCAAAAATCAATTTGTCACGTCGTATTCGACAAGAGAACCTTTATTCTGAAGTTTTACCAAGCAGTCACTTTAATGCAGGGAATGTCAGTTTTTTTCTTCCTTTTCACTATATCAGCACTTTGTCATATTCCACAGTTACTTTTTCACCACCTTTTCAACCTTCTTTAGTTCTCTTTTTTTTTCCAGTTTATTGCCTTACCAGCTAAAACAGCTAGCAAAGAATATTCCAATGTCGTTGACGAAAATGTTGAATACCATTGGCAGGTGGTTGAAAGAGTGTTATTCATGTATAGTAAACTTAATCCAGGAGTGAAATATGTGCAGGTTATTTCGAAATTATTTTATCATATATATTTAAAATATACTATTGCTTGACGGAGACTTTTCATTTTTTTTTTATCAAGCAATTTGAGATTATTGTAACTGTTAAGGGAATGAATGAAATTATGGGTCCATTGTATTACGTATTTGCAAGTGATGCAGATGACGAATGGGCAGAAGAGGCTGAAGCGGATACATATTATTGTTTCCAATTGCTGATGAGCGAGATTAAGGACAATTTCATTAAAACTCTGGACAGTTCCAACTGTGGCATTGGTAAACTTTTATTTAATCAATCAGTATCATTTATTGAGTAGGATAATGGCACAACTTCGTGCTGAATATAGCTTTGGTTTACTGGCGGGAAAAAAATGGTTCATCTCTTAACTTTCACTCTTTAATCTACTCGCTCGCTAGGTTTGGAACCACTTGATTTCAACTAACCAACATTTGGCAGAATTATCTTAGATTTCTAAATACTTCCGTAACTGTTGCTGGGTTTAAAAAAAGGGAGAGATCTGAGTCTTGCTTTCTCATTTCGGTGTGGTTTTGTAGTTTAGTGTATGGCATAAAGAGAGTTCACTTTCTCTTTGAACCACTCAAGAAATTTGATTTTTGGCAGTACCAATGCAGGACTTAAATTCCCTTATCATTCTTTGTTTTGATGGATTGAAACTTTAGGTTATCCACGTTACAGAGTCACTTCTGGCTGAATTTAATGAAAGATTGAGGAGTTGCGATCCTGAACTGTATAATCATCTGGTCGATATGGGCATTAAGCCGGAATTCTATGCATTTCGCTGGCTTTCTTTACTTCTCTCACAAGAATTCTCTCTACCAGGTGAATGTTCCTTCCACTGCTACAAATTTCATTTTTTTTGTCCAGAAAATAATCTGAAATATTTAATTTACAGATGTTATTAATATATGGGATTCGTTATTTTCCTCACCTGATCGTTTACGATTTCTCCACTGGATATGCTTAGCGATGATGGAGAAAGTCCGTGACTTGCTGCTTGAAGGAGATTTTACAGCATGTTTGGAAATGCTACAGGTAGTCCGGTTTAATAGTTTATGTCATGTCATATTTATTATTGAGGGATGCAGTTGACTACTTAGGTTATCATTCCTAATCCTTAAGAAGAGTTGAAACATTTTGTTTTTTTTAAATTTCTAGCCAACTTGCAGCAATGTTAACTACCATTTATATGGGAAATGATGTACTTCTGGGTTTTGTTTTACATTTCCATCCGTAATTTATGTTCAACATCTTGTCATGTCCGCAGTAATGTATATTTACTCAGAACAGGAGCTGCTGCTTTAAATGGCGTGGTATTTTTTTTTTTTTTTTCACATTTAATGCCGCTTTGAGACCGTTGAATGAGTTTTTATCAGAATTGTCAATGCTCTTCACTAATGCTCTAAGAATACTGTCGAAGAAATATTAATTTGCTACCATTGTTTTTCAGAATTATCATGAAACTGACGTCGGAGAATTGATTGTGATTGCTCACAAAATGAACGAAGGGTGCTACTGTTTCAAAAACTCGTGTAGAGACAGCACAAAAAGTGCTTTTTCGAAATTGGAAATAAATCCTACTGTAAAACTTGCCAGTGCCTTCAGTAATGTTCTAAGGACATTGTCAAAGAAATAGTAATTTGCTACCACCGTTCTTTAACATCGCTATTTATTTCTTAGTGATAATGTTTTTGGAGGATTCAAATATTCCTAATCGAGAAGGAGAAACATTTCGAATGAACTAATAAACAAATAGTAATCTGCATAATCAGTACGAAATGCTGGTATATCTCTGCCGTGTGCCATATGTGTGTTCCTCATGAATATGGAATAAATCTTATGCAGTGGACTGGAGTTAATGCGCAGTTAATTATTAATGAGTAAACATTTAGCTGTGTGGTCATATAGGTTAAAAAATGATAAGGTAATATTAGACGCAAATAAAAATTAGAGCATATTCACTAAGGAATGTGTATTACTTGTATGACAAATGCAAGACTGGTATGTTTAAACACAAGTTGCGCATAAAAATTGCAGGGGAGACACGTAAATTTAGGATATATATGGGTCTTTATATTTGTTTATTTGTTTTTTTTATTTATATTTATATATTTATGTCGATAATTTTCAAAGTGTCGTGAATTTGTCGCAAAGCATTTATATTGTTTTGTTGCATTAACTTAATGACTATTCAAATATATCTCGTTTAATTATAAATTGCATGAGGTTGATCATGTTAATGTGTCACTTCTGTACCTTTCTTAGAAGTAAGGTATTTCGTTAGATTGTGCAGAAAGTGGTTTGCTTCAGTTTTAGATTAGAATGAGTAAAAAACGGTGTTTTTTGTTCGTTTTGTCAATTTTTGTAGAATTTCTTTTGTAGAAATATAACTTCGTTTTCACGTTGTCATAATGTTACTGCCTGGTGCTGTGTGCATCCACGCTCATCTGTTATTTGAAGTTCAAAATGTAATGATCGGTTCATGTCCCCATGCTCCTGTTGGTGAACTTTTTCAACATATTTCCAGGAGTTTTTAGTGTAATAACATCATTGTGTTAATTTTCTGACGACAGTGTGTTAGTTTATTATCAGTTGCTTGCAAGGAGAACATTGCCATAATCGGATATTTGTTAATTTGTAATGGTTTGTCGATTTTATAGCGCCATTTGATACTTGATATTTTTCCACCTTCGATTTTATACATTTATATTTTGTTAGAACAATTTGAAAATGTATGAAAATGTTGAATTCGTTGACATATACTTCAAGAAATTTTGTGGTTATGGCTCACGAAAATATTGTTTTAATTTCTTTTTAGTTTGAATATTCCATACATCTAAACAGTTTTGAGTATGGTCCGAAGGTTTAAACATAGTGATAAATGGAGTGATGTGGTAGTTGACACTTTGAGCATTCTTGTAATGCAGTTTAGGACCTGTTGTCACGGACGATGATGAGTGGTGGTTGTCTTGATTCAAGTATCGGCGTTGGAAGTGGATAGAGTCGGTCAGGTAAGACCGAGGTAGTAAAAGTTTTGCGCGGAAGATATTAAAGGTTTTGAGATTCTGGTTGAGTATTAATGTCTGGGTGTTTGCGTGTATTTGATACATTATGTGGGTATGAGCCATATTTTTACCATAACGGCAATGTTGAGGTGGTGAAATTGAGTTTGCAATACATCGTTTTTCGGCAAAGCATTCATCACTTTTCCTTAAAATTCTTTGTTTTAGTTTGGATTTGTAAACCTACTAGCAACAATTGTCAGCAAAATGAGTAATGAATTCAAACAGGGGAGTAGTAGTGCAACCCTAGCTGCGGTGAACGGTCAGAACAACCCAACGCAGGGTGTTGCGACGCCACAACAGAAAACCGTCGGACGTGTCCAGGGTTCTACACCATCCGGTGCGTCCGTTTTATTTTTTGGTGTTAACATCCTGTTAACATCCCGAAATAAATCTACTATTTCAGGTTCTATTTCAAATCCAGTAACTACCCAGAGCGTAGCACCTCAATTTGCTGTTGCCACACCGCACAATGTAACGCATAACGCTAATCCAGAGGTTTTTTGATTTTTTCTTGGTTTGAGAATACTTGATATCAATCTCTTTGCTTATACTAAGTAAGCAGGGAATCAGAAATCGCAGTTTTATCTTGAAATTATTGGTGTTGATAATGTTGTTTTTAGGTGCTATCCGTTTTCGAATGCCCAGTTTGCATGGATTACATGATGCCACCTTATCTGCAGTGCCAGAGTGGTCACCTTGTATGCGGTAATTGCCGTCCCAAACTAACATGCTGCCCTACCTGCAGGGGTCCAGTTCGTATGTTTCTTCATCATTTAAATGGAGATTTAGAAATTTTCTGTTTTAATGCTTTAAGCGCTTTCGTTTTTCTCCGGGGGAAGAGAGGAAGATGCACGAGATCATTTTTCAAATTTCAACTAGTATAATTGCACTAACTTTCTATGCATTTTATCGAATGTCATTTACAGCAAGTGTCCGAAATTTGGTATTGGAAAAGATTGCAAACACCGTTATGTTCCCCTGTAAATTTGCTGGTTCAGGCTGTCCGCTTACATTTTCACACGTTGAAAAAGTGGAGCACGAGGAGCTTTGTGAATTCCGGTAAGCATTCTGTATTTCTGTTCTGGTTGTAGTTCGTTTTATAAAGGAATGTAGGCCTCTTCTAAGAGGGAAATGTAGTATTTCCCTGCAAAACGTTCACTCTACCCTTATTTTTGTTAACGTTATACATCTCAATTTTTATGTTATCAAATATTGTTTTATATTCTTCACTGTGCATCTTTTTAGCCCATATTGTTGCCCTTGTCCCGGGGCATCATGCAAGTGGCAGGGAAGCCTCTCGGAAGTTATGGGACATCTTATGAAAGTCCACAAGTCTATTACTACTCTACAAGGTCAGTTCATTTCCGTTCGCTTCATGGAAGACGAAAACATTTTGGTGTCACTGTTGTTCACTCATAGCATATTTTTGTGTTTCTCTTTATTCGCGTTATGAGTAGCATAGTACTTCAGAAATTAAAGAAAGTGAAAATAAGTATGTTAATTATCCTTCCTACTTTTTCGTGAAGAATGACTATTATGGTTCTTTTCTGATAAACCATGATATTTCTTGCTCCCTAATCATGAGTTAATAAAAACTCAATGGTTTTCCTACACCGTATTTAATGACAACTGTGAAGAGAAAGCATTTTAATGAATCTAATTACAGGTGAAGATATCGTCTTTTTGGCTACTGACATCAACTTACCTGGTGCTGTAGACTGGGTAATGATGCAGTCTTGTTTTGGTTATCACTTTATGCTCGTGCTAGAAAAACAAGAGAAGTTCCAGGATGGCAATCAGATGTTCTATGCTGTTGTACAACTGATTGGCGCTAAAAAGGAATCTGAAAATTTCATGTATCGGTAGGTATTATATTGGACATGGAATGTCGGGAATAGAATTTTTTTTGATATACGGCTATTCTGAACTAATTCAGTTTGCGAAGGAATTTTAGACTTTATGGTTCGCTAGTTATAAGCCTTCTTTGGGCTATGTTCAGGACCTTTTTTAATACCTTGCAGATTTTAATGTGGATAACTAAAACTGTGGTTTGAATCCATTCAAATAGATGGCAATATGTGAAAGAAAAATTGAATTGGATTTCAGAACAAAAAAATCTTTCAGGTTCCGTATATGGAAGTCTAATTTTATTTTGTTTGCAGGCTTGAATTAGCGACACATCGGCGTCGTTTTAGCTGGGAGGCGTCCCCACGTAGCATACATGAGGGTGTGGCACATGCAATATCTCTCTCAGATTGTATGGCATTTGATAGCCAGACGGCCCAGTTGTTTGCCGAAAATGGTAATCTTGGTATCAATGTTACGATATCCATGGTTTGAACTTGTTCAAAGCTAAGCCGTTATTTGATGTCATGTTGATGGCGATAGTGATGGAAGGAAAGATTAGAACTTGGGGAGAGGAAGGTTCAGTACGACATATATTTATGAATTTATGGTTCCAGTTACTATTAATAGCAGCGACAGTATTTACAAATATTCTTAACAACAGTTTCAGTACAGCTTAGCGCATGTAAAACTATCTCCAGAAGCAAAACAGAATAAGGTTTTATTTCGTATTCTTACATGTTGCGCTTGTATATATGAGTTTAGTGAACTTACACTTAATTATCTTAATGATCTTTAAAGAAAAAAACTCTCATTCCATCATTTTGGTGTACATGAATTCTGAAAAAACAAATGAAGGTGAACACGTGATCTGAGATTTAGAGCCTTCAAAAAAAAACCATACTTTTACGCTTGGAGTCGGTTTTATGTGCGCTGGCTATGTAGTTTCTGATGTGAGAATCTCTGTTGTACGCATAAATGATAATTACCATGCATCCAATCTTTTAACTGCTTTCTGTTATCATGATATTTTCAGTGCACTTACCAAAACTGGGTAGAAATCATTTTCTCTTAACGATCAAAGACTCTGCCAAATTCCGACACTCTCATCACATAACCATTAATATTAAGTAGTGACAATGTATATAGTCATTGTTTATCTCGGTTCTCCAGAAATCTATCTGAATCTATCTCCTCTTCAAATGACAGTATGTCTGTATTAGACTAGTTACATCTTCCTTTTTTGCTGAGCTGTGCTACGTGGAATTTTTTGCTTCAGTGATCTAGTCTGGTTTGTAGGGGGTGAAAGTACCTATCCTTTACATTTCACAGCTCATCTTATTTCATTTACATTTGCTTATTAGTCGTTACCTTCCCATGCCCGTTTTATTAATGTGAAAGAAATCTGTCTTTGTCTTAAAAGAAATCTGTCTTTTTTCTTACTGTTTAGAAGGACACAAACCATATTCAAGACGAAATTTCTGACTCCAAAGTACAGGGGATAGCAATCAATTTTATTAGTTAATTCCTATTGAAAGATTGTTACTTGCATTTCTGGTTGATTTAGTATATTCCTGAAATTATCATCCCTGTTATTCCAAAATTGTCCTCTATCACCATTTTTCAATGCGTCCTTGTTGAAATTATTTTGTAATGCCTCCTTGGTCAGGATGGATGATGATGGAAGAGATCAAGGCAGTTGTCGAGCGCGAATGATGTATTTTTGTATATACGTAGTCTGCTTTTCTGTTTATACGTATTTGTATCCGACGATAATGGAATGCACCTCGCATTTATCGTGCACAAACGTTCCTGTTTAAATTAGATATTATTGGTGACTGTTCGTTAAATTAATAGCCATTTAATCTTCATTTTCACTAATTACTCGCAAGAGACAAGAATCTAAGCCGGAAAACCGGATTTTTGCTGGACATAAAATTTAAACGATGCGATATCTTCCAAACCAAATTCAATCCAGTCGCCAGGCTTCACAGCTGTTACGCCTGATGGTGTGCCCGTGAGGAGCATATCACCTGGTTCCATAGTGACATATTCCGTTAAAACTTCGATTAAAGTTGGTATGTCGAAAATCATGGCATCGGTTCGACAGCGTTGCTTTTCTACATCATTTATACGACAAAATAGCTCGACGTCGTGTGGATTGGCAATTTTGTTGATTTCGATGAAAGATCCTACTGGACATGAAGTATCAAATGATTTTGACAAGAACCAGGGTGCGCCTGCCTTCTTCGCTTCATCCTGGAAATTGAAAGTTGTATATCAGAACCGCATTCTACTAAAGTCAACTTTCCACACAAACCCATCAATTATTGGCATTTCAGTGACACGATAACTACGCTGCCCGAGGGTTCATTAAAAACCTGAACCTTCAGACAACACTGAAGGATTGTTTCGTCCAAACAAAAAAGTCTGATGACGAATGACCTGGAAGTCTCGAGCTGTCATATCCAAGGCTACCGTGTACCCACCAATATAATTAAATGCTTGCGAAGATGGGATATTTTTCGCTGTCTTGCTGAAAATCACACCAAGTTCCACTTCTTGATGTAATATCTTGCAACCAGGCGGTGGGGTGATAGGTTGTCCTTGTGATACATAACTGTTTGTTGATTTCAGGAAAAACAACGGTATTTTCGGTATCGTGTTTCCCAATTCCAGAGCATGCTCCTGTAAAATCCACTCATTGATTAAATCTTCCCAACCTTGTTGCATTTACAAAAACATATAGCGTGCATATATCCTTTTAAGATGACAAACCTTATAATTCCTACCGACACAAACAATCTTTTTCCCAAGATTGCGGAAATTTGACAACTGTGTCGCCATATTATAAGCAGATCTTGACCAGCTTAATTACAGGTTGTTCGAATTGAGGGAGCGAGCGAGTACTCGCTGGGAACTTATGAAAATGCGATGTCTAAATCGTTTCATAATTGATTCATTCCCACCATTAATTAAATTTATTCGTAATCACTGAGAAATATCATTGTCACATACCGTCAAGTAATGTTCAGTTGTATCATCTTAACAATGCCATCATAATATGATTGGGAAATATTTCCAACTACAGTAAATAACATTCTTAGCATCACATCCTTAAATCATTTGCCGATTTTATAGTACATGAGGCATAACAAATGGATGTGTATCAGAAGTATCGTATTTTCGAGTGACAAATGCAAACTTTTTCGGAGTACTAGCAACAACTAACTGGAAAAAGAGTTTATTTATTGTTGCTATTTTTGCGTACGATCTTACTACAAGAAGTTTATCAAAATCTGGTTATGAAATGGAGTGGTAACTGTTGAGTTAATAGCGATAAAATTATCGGTTACCAGAAGTTGAATAGCTGGTCAGCTTCCTATCTCCTACATATGACTGTTAGTGTTCATCGGATTTCTTTTATTTTGACTTATTCATCAGTTGAAATTGTTGTAAAACATTGAATTTTTCTCCTTAATGGCATAGTCTTGATAGCGTTGAATAAAATCCAATCAATATATATATATATATATATATATATATATATATATATATATATATATATATATATATATATATATATATATTATATAT